TCCACTGTCCCAGACGGCAAATTTACTTTGCATGAAGGTAAAAGATGCAATAAGGCACACGATACATTTAACACAACATGAACCCATTTACAAATAAGAAACACAGATGCTTAAATGAGGAAAACAAGTTAGCTGCTTAAGGAAGTTTCACAATTAAAAATAAAACAATGAAAATGGGAAAGAGGCGTGTGAGATAGATACATAAGATGCTGCAAGATGAAAAAATAAAGTAAAATATACAAGCAGCTGTCCAAATTAAGCTAATTAATAGAAGTGGGAATGAAGGATAATTTAGGTTATTATCGTCTAGCGGGGTCTAAATGGACGCCCTAATGGAAGGAGCTGAAATTCACTGTGCAAGGGGTGTTCCACAGTTCACACGGAGGTAAAAAAAAAAACTTTCCAAAATCCCAGGGTGCCAGAACTCCAGGGTTGGAAAGACTGACGTTCAGTTTAGTGATACTTTTCTGCGGACTGACACTCTGCCCCTTGTTCTTCTCCTAGTACAAAGATGTCTCATTTCTTTAAAAACAAACTCTTATCACAGTTTCTCTTACACGTCGACAGTAGAAGCAGAAAGCATGCAGACAGGAGCATGTTTCACACAATCACACAGATCAGTAAAACAACTTGTCCTCAAATAAACTGCATCATGTGCTTTTGAGGTTTTCACAATACTTCTTTGCCTTCTCAGGAAGGGTTTGACTTCAGGGGCTTGCCAGCCCACGTTTATTATTTTTAAGAATCAAGTCTTTAGCTAGTAAAGAAATGTGTGCTGAAGCAAGACAAACGGGAGTTCACAAACACCGTACTCAAGTTGTATTACATTTTCTGGTGCCTCCGAGCAGTGCTTTCATTTAAGGAACGAGCCCAGACGTGTTCTTTCATTGAGCTGACTTCGCAAATTAACAATTAAGGAAACATTTCTCAGGAGAAGCCGCCAAAATACGTTTTTCAGCAATGGTTTCCCTGAATTCTAGTCCCTTAAACATATTTCCACTAATCACTTGTTACCAGGCTGCTTTTTCATTGTATAAAAACAATGATTGGCTGATCAAAGACATATTCCCTGAGAAAGTCTTAGGAAATATGCAGACATTTGTTGAGTACGGCACTAGTTCTTTGTTTTTCACAATTTAATTAATGGCCTGCTTAACTAAATATGGACAAAGCAACTCATTGAAGAGGCCACTAAAAAGTGGACAAGGTCTAGGAGCACATATATAGAATATGTATGGTTTCTCTTGGTTGAAAAATGCATTGGAAACTAGAGTGTTATAAAATATTGCGGGCAGAACATCTAGTAGGTATGGTTCCCAAAAGGAGATAAGGCTATGTCCCCGTTGATGTGCCACTTCATTTCATTCTACATTCGTTACTTTTCTATTATTCACCAGTCATGAAATTGTTTATTTTTCCAGTCTCTTATCAGATGCTCCCTGCCATTTCTCTGCCCAACCCCACAATCTCGGAAGCAGTCCATGATTTTATTTATCTTCAAATTGGTTTAATCTACATTTACTTTATTGTGTTTCTTGCATTTTTTTATTGCTAGGTAATTTATGAAGTACGTATGCTTGTATGCATTCTCTATTTGTTGTTTAAAAATACAAATTAGAAAAGGAACTTAGAGAGGCGAGAAAGTTTTATCGTGTTCTGAGTTTTAAGTACATTGAGAAATACTGTACAACACTATGATATCCGAGAATTAAAACAATCAATTTTGAAAAGGTTCTATTAAAGTCTGTTACAATTTTTTAAATATATGATGCTATATCAAATCTATATCTGAGTCTATTTTTTAAATAATTTGCTTAAATTCAACATATTCCTGTTTCTTTTTGTCCTTCCAGTATGACATTGACATTCACATTTATGGCTGCCAGAACATCAGCTCATATGTTTTGCAGGATTTGTCAGAGCGCAACCTGCTTTTGTACACAGAATACAAACCCACATACCAGCCGTAGTATGGAGTCTCATTCATTCCGGGAAAAAAAATGCAGATTATTATTCAGCAGGTCTCTGACTTCTGAAATGGGGGAAAGGACAGATTGTTGCTTGACAGAACATTTTGGCAGAAGCCGAGATTAAATTGCCTTATGTCACAGAATTTATTTCTGTACCGTTCCTGCGCATTTGATACTACGGAAGTAATGATGCCAAACCCGTGTGAACGACACAACTGTAGCGCCCTCTTCTGAACGGCAGTTCAGTTTCAAGACTTGGTCAAGAACCTGTTTCTGGTTTTGCATCCGAGTGCAATTTACTCACAAGTCTCTCATAATATTGATATTATTATGTAATATTGTTATGTGCGTTTACCAGTAAGTTGTATAAAAAACACTTAAAAATATGCTGTAGCATTTCGTCTAACAGCAGAAACAAGTGGAAGTGAAATTTTCTGCAAACATGTTATATGCCTTTGCTCTTTGATTATTTTTTACAAAACATGTTCACTAAAGTGGTCCAGGAAGATGCATCACAAAAACTCGTTTGGAATAGCCACTTAAGTTTACGTAAATACCACGTCGTTTCTGCATTTTGAAACGTCGTTTGTCATTTGTTGTTAAGACAAGATTTTCTACTGAGAGAAAGAAAAGCAAAATGAATTATAATAAAGAAACTTACCAGGTGAGTTTATGTACTTGATGACAGGGGCGTGGATTACTTGTCACATTCATGGCTCTATACACTCCAGGGTAACACTATAAATCTGTAATTTTAAAACACTACGTCACCTGACGAATTCCCTATACTGTATATTTTCATATACAGAACAGTATTACACAATCACTGAAAGGTACTAATATGACAACACCATTTCATCGTAGTTTTTTCAAATGTTAAACGAAAACCACAATATATTGTTTCAAAATGCTGTGTTGTCAAGTATTCATTTTAATTGCTTACACTTATATAGCGCTTTCCAGGTCATTGGGGACTCCCCTCCACCACCACCAATGTGCAGCATCCACTAAGGAAAACGAGTTCATTCACGAACATTTAAGTCATGCTTGGCTCACTTTGGCGCTGTTAATCCAGTACTGGGAATCAGTTTAATTTTGTGTTCAGTAGAAGCCCGCCTTTCCGCGGCGAGAGGTACATATTCACCTTTCAAGCGGAGGAGAAAGTTTAGGCGGAATACAAATGTTGTCCTGCCATCTGCTGGAGACATTCACTCAGAAAAAAAAAGAAAACCTTTTTATTTCCGAGCTGCCACCTAGTGGCCTGACGTGCTTGTGCTGGAGTTCTCAGTCCTCGGTCTGCGGACCTTAGCTCTTCTCCCAGTCTATGCTACACCGGTAACCAGTCAACTGCGAAACGGGAATCAGCGCAAGTTTATTTTTCGACTTAAAAGTTCAAGACCTCATGTTACTTATGTAGGCGACGCTTAAAAGACACCCTCCACCATGATTAGGAGCTTGAAGAATTCAGGTAAATCCTATTATGAAGTCAATTAAGGAACTGAGAGGTTGGCTGGAATAAAACCCGCAGGTGCGTCCGTCCCAAGGGGGGGACAGCGAATCCTGCTCTATGCAGCACTGGATATACCCACAATCAATTTATGTTTTGTAGCAGGATGCTCATGTTCATATAATAGCAGGTTGAAGTCATGTCTTGGCATTTGCCAAACCACTTTATATCATACGGTGTCGCGGGAAGCCAGAGCCTACCAGGCAAGGAACAAGTGCAAAGCAGGGTACAGACAGTCCATCGTAGGGCAAGTGCAAGCCAGTCATACATGGGTACAGTTTGGAAGCCATGGTAAAGGCCAAGGGGGGACATTTGGCCCGGACACTGGGACAACTCCCTACTCTTATCGAGACATGCCTGGGGATCTTTAATGACCACTCACGAGTCAGGACCTCAGTTTAAGATCTCATCTGAAAGACGGCGCCCACTACGGTATAGTGTCCCCGCCACTATTCTGGGGCATTAGGACCCACACAGACTGCAGGGTGGACGCCCCCTGCTGGTCCCACTAACACCACTTCCAGCAGCAACCAGAGTTTCCCAGGAGGTCTCACATCCAGGTACTGACCAGGCTCAACCCTGCTTAGCTTCTGTGGGCAGCCAGTTGAGAGTTGCAGGGTGATATTGCTGCTGGCAAAGTAAAAAGTAAAAATACAGAAACTGCATCTAGTCAATAAAACTGATTAAAATATTTTTTGTAGGTTTATAAACCACTCAAGAAAAGGTTAAGCATGAACAAGGAACAGCTAAGCCACATTAACTCCTGAAAGTATTTTTTTAGGTTTTCAAGTTCTCTTTAAAGCAGCATTATGTAGAACTGTTAGACTGGCCTAATTAGCCAACAATGAGCTGATTTAGGTTGTGCAGAGCCCTTGTGGACTGAAAGCCTGCAGACTGGATCCCCCCTACCCTAGGTGAAGAAGACTGGGTAAAGAAGGGGTCTTCCATCCTGGAGAACTGGCACAACTCCTGCATACCAGCATTTCAGGCAGCAGACACCCATGGGAGCGAGTTCCCCCAGTACCCAGCAGGTGTGCACTCTGTGGCCAGCCTGCTGTCTGTGGCCGACGCCAAGAAAAGACGTGGCAATTGTTCCGAGTCGGACCAGCAGGAGCCCTCTCTCGGAATCACGCGGATCTCCTCAGCACCGCTGAGACAAAACGGTGAAGACACAGCAGGTCTCTTCATCCAAAACGGCCTGGGCTGCTGGTGTGGCACTGGGCCGCCATCTTGATGGCCAGTATCGCCAGGCCATACCCTGCCAACAGCACTCATGAGCTTTCAGGGCATTTCAAAAGCTAGAGCTGCCAAACCACCCACCGACTCCGTGGAAACCCCTTCGGAGCAACGAATAGCAGACAGTGGGCCTGGTCTGGCTCCTAACTTCAAGTTGAGATCTTATTTCCATGGCAACAGCCGTCACCACCATAGCTCCTAGAACTTTCCTCACTGCAAACCAACCCCAACCCACCTCACCATGAAACAGTCAAGGGCACGAACAAAACAAACCTCTCCAAAAGGTCCACATTTAAAGTTTTTTATTAAAAAAAAGTTATTACAGTTTTTCATTTATACACAACTATTTAAGGTTATAATCCTATAGATAGAAGGCATTTGTCACTCGTGACCGGCATGCCCACTACATAATCACAATGCAAAGTAAAAGGAAGGGGAAAAAAAGAAAAAAAGAAGGGGGGGGGGGGGGAAATCAGCCAGACTCAGGACGGAAGAAACGCCCTTTTGACTTTTCAAGTATCACACACTAGGTACCAAATACAGAGCTGCGATTAAAATAATGGCCATTTCCCATGCTGCACACACCCCCCTAACACAGTGCAGGCGTTAACTCTGAAGAAGCAAGACCTGAAAGAAAGGGATCGTGGTGCAGCCTGACCCCACGGCTGGCCGGCCCTTGGGGTCGGACAGCCTGGCCAGCACACCAGCCGAGTGGAGGGAGAGGTCAGGGCAGGTGCTGTTGTGCTTCTGGCAGGAGATCTGTCTCTTTTCTCCTTCCTGCAGGGTTATCAGTCAGGTAAAAGTGGGCCAGGCCGCTCTCCTGCGGATACAACTTCATCACTCGCGGCATCGAGTGTCTAATACATTACCAGAAAGGAGCGGGAGAGAAGTCCTAGGGCTGAAACTGCGTGGCATGCCGAGAAGCAAAGGCAGTCATGCCTCGGAGGATAGGGGGAAAATGAAATCCTGGAACAGATGCAGTATCAGATTTTTTTTCTGTTTATTTACGTTACAAGGGAAGCACAATCTTTAGTTTTGGATTTTGTATCAATCAAATTCTTGACTGGAGGAGAAAGGGAAAAAAAAAGAAAAGATTACAAATATCCTCTTAACATTTAGGATTACCTAAAAAAAAAGGAAAAGGCTGGCTTTGAACTGTTAATGGCCTACGCAGGCCATCCACCCTATAACGTTTTTGCCATGTTACAACAGCCATAGCCCAGGTCTCCCGGGAGAATTTTTTGTTGTCCAGTTTTGTGCTCCCACAGCAGAAGAGCCCAACACCACAGCCTAGAAATGGTGTGGGTCCCAGTGTACTCATCATGAACACAAGTACCTAACATAGCTGGTAGTTCTCCTTTAATGCTTTTTATTTTTACAATACTGCATCAATGTGTAGAAATTAAAAAAATAAAAACCTATTGAAAGTCTTCTTTAAAAGAAATTCAAGCTTCTACTCAAAAATCTAAATATGGATGAACTCCAAACCTCCGTGTTTAGCATCAGATTGCAAATCTTTTTGCAGTTGTTGACTTGTTGTTTTTTTTAAACAGACAAGCTCAGAATCAGCTAAGTGTGCAGTCAAAGAGGAAATCGAACAACTGATCATTGAGTTTTGCAGGCTCAAATTCTGAGATACCAAACGACTATTATGTGACAGCCTTTTTCACATTGGTTTGGGAATTAAAAACCCATATTCCATTTGGCATATTCCAAAACGTTGACCTACTCTGGATTCTAATTGTGACCAGATTTTAAATGCACTTTGTATATTAGTTGCCACAGTAACCAGACCTTATTGAATACTGAAAAACAAGATTTATCATTTCACCCAGTGTGGAATTCATCACATTTCACAGGTTTAAACTTGTAGTTCCTGCATATGTGCACAGCTTCCGCACAGGCACAAAAATGTAATCCAAGGCTCTTACTTTTAAGAACTGATTTCAAAATAAATATGACACAATGTTATATCAATGTGTCCCAAAACAAATTTACAACAGCCTGAAGTAACTTAACAGTTGACCTGTACAAGTCTCTATAATTTGCATATGGGAACAGGCAGGGAAGGAAGCTTAAATCTTTGGAATATCTATTTAACCATGGAATAGGCTAAATTAAGCGAGTAATATTTTTTTCAAGATGTTAGCTCAAACAGGCTATTTCTATAATTATTAAAATCATACAAATCTTTTTCAAATTTAAATCACCACCCAGCAAACTATCCCTATGTAAGTCAGACACCTCTAGTTCAGCACAAGCAATAGGCAAGTTGATAGGTAAAGCAAGTTTAAAAGGACCTGCAGAATTCCCCCCACAATTACCATGTTCTAATGAAGAGTAATCAAGTTTACCACTACATAATACATACTTAACTCTAGCCTTCAAACAGAAGCCACAAATGTTAATATATTTTTCTTTTTAAAGCATACTAGCTCAACAAAGCCCTATACAACTTCAGTTCTGTATCATGCCACAATGTACAAAAGGTTGTTGAGATAAAAAAACAAAACAAAAGCACAGGTGGTTCTGGAAACTAAAGGGGAAAAAACATGCAAATTTAAACTGAATTTAGTTCTTCTAGACTAAGAAAATATAGAAGATCTTTGTGCTTTATGGATACCAACTGACTGTGTTTGTCTCCCTCTGAATCTCTCTACGTGGCTTTAGTAATGCTCTTGAAAGAAAAACATTGACTGACGAATGGGAAGGAGAAGGCTCTGCAACCACCAAGTCAGGCGTGACCTCACTGCTGCGTTCAGCCCCTCGCAACCATCACCCCCTCAGTGACGTGGACAGCAGGCCCCCGCCTTCCACCCTGCTCTGCCAGCAACACAGATGGGGGAAAAAGGGGCCCAAATGTTTGTTGAAACCTATATTGCAACACTGGGTAGAAAACCAAAACCTACCACTTTTTTTTCAGGGATTTTTTTTTTGTCCCTAATACATCCATGCGCAAAAAGAGAAATGTCTACAAAAACCATTTACACTAAGGCGTGGACTATCAGTGGATTAACTCGCTGGCAGGTGAGGTGTCAGGACGTAGTATCGTTGTCTTCTGCCAAGGTTGGTCGCCTCTTCCATTATTACCACAACAGGGTTATAATGCTAAAATAAAAAGCTGGATTTGAGTCCTGCACAGACAGGAAAATGCATTTAAAAAACAAACATTACAGCTTTTCATACTTAAATGGAAGCAAAAACCTGCGCTATACAAAATGGGCTCCTGAAGCTACATTTCCATTTTTTTTTTAAATAAAGCAAGCAACCTCCGAGCTATTGTATTAAATTAAAACAGCCACTAACTTCAGTAATATTTGCCAGGTATTAACAAGCAGTAATCCTGCCGAACTGTTTACATATCCAATCTGTTTTATACAGTTCAAGATCTAAAAAAAAATTACGTAAGAAAGGGCTTAACTGGAAGAGAACGTCATGTCATAGCCATGATGCAATTACCAGCAACAACATCCTATTTTTATTTTTTCCTCGGTGCATTGGTCACAAAGAGAAGGGATGCGTTCCCCTTGGCCTTGCCTATCGAGGCATCCGTTTTGTTCTAGAGTTGAGTCACACGTGAGTTAGGCTGACCAACAGGATACAGCGATCACATGCATTCGGGCTAAGCAGCTACCAAAGTGGAATGTGGGAATGCTATGCGCCTTGGGTTGAGAAATGACTGGGAAATGAACATCTAGAGAGTGAGATATACACCAACGCTATATCCATAAAAATCCTTGTTTAGTAATAAAAAAAATTGCCTTGTTTAAATATGAATATTATAGTCTGCTTCTCATGGTTAAGAAATCATATAGTCTCTGTTCTGTTAAGGGCGCCTCTTTTTACTACAACTCCATATCCTGTGCCTCATCTTCCGAAAAATCCGACATCGAACTCTCCGACGAACTGTCCCCGGCCGCCTCCTCCTGCTCCTTCAGAGCCTCCTCTGTTGCATATTTCTGGATGTATTCTGGGGAGGGAAAAGAAGATGATTAATAGCACACTTCTAATCTATGCAAAGAGACCAACTGCATGCTGGGCCGGTCTACAGAAGAATAATCATTAAAAAGACATGACTCTGCTCGATGCAGAAGCAAAGTTTCAGCAGCCTCTTTTCAACACCAACCCAAGGCCGTCTGAACACAAAAAAAGATGACAAGTACCCATCAAGCATTTATACATACACAACGCAAGTGAAGGGATACACTCAAACCTGAATGGTTAACTCCCTTTTCAGTGGATTCAGTTTTTTTTAATAAATTTAATTTTGAACATCAGAGCCTGTAGATGAAGGTCATTTATGCCAGAAAAGAAAGAACCTATATTGCTTTTTTCTATTCTGATAAGACTATTTTAGAAACTTTGAGCACACATTTTTGTGAACCCAATTTTTGAAGTTCAAAACCCTTCAATCAGCTCTCTGCTGTCTTATTCATCCGAAGTTTTTGGATGACTCTGCAATTGTGGGGTGTATTAGAGAGGGGAGGGAGGAGGAATATAGGAGCTTGATTACCAACTTTGTGGAGTGGTGTCATCTTAACCATCTCCAGCTTAACACCAGCAATTCCAAAGAAATGATCTTCAACTTTCGAAGGAATAAGTCTCCGCTGGACCCTGTTTCCATCCAGGGTGAGGACATAGAGGGTGTACATTCCTACAAGTACTTAGGGGTACACCTGGATGATAAGCTGGAGTGGTCTGGTAACACTGACGCCCTGTACAAGAAAGGTAAGAGCCAACTCTATTTTCTTAGGTCCTTTGGTGTGTGTGGAACACTGCTACACATTTTTTATGAATCAGTGGTGGCGGCGGCCATCTTCTACGCTGTTGTGTGCTGGGGCAGCAGCATCATGACAAAAGATGCAAATAGGCTCAATAAACTCATCAAGAAGGCTGGCTCTGTGTTGGGGATGAGCCTTGACCCCATGGAGGTGGTGGCTGAGAGGAGAATGCTGGCCAAGCTCACAGCCATCATGAACAACACCTCTCATCCGCTTCATGGGACTGTTACTGGGCAGCGGAGCACTTTTAGCAACAGACTGCTCCAGCTACGGTGTTCAAGGGAACGTTTCCGCAGGTCTTTCCTCCGGGCGGCTGGCAGGGTGCATAACGCTGCCCTAGACTAGGACTGTTAGCCCTTCATTTGCTCGTCTATCGACAGCATGTTTGCTCCATTGTACTTTTTGGACAATCGGTCTGTATAAACCTATGCACATTTTGCACATATTTTATTGTTTTTACAGTGACTATGATCATCACATTTTGCACACACCTATGTATTTATTTTTATTTATTTTGTTGTCTTTTGTTTTAATCCTATGGGATTAATAAAGTATTATCTATCAATCTTATTGTAAAATCTGTGCAGAGTACAGTCTATTGATGGGATCCCAGGGTAAAGTCTACATCAGATAGGTGTATTATCGAAATTGCTGAAGACCATTTGTAAATTTTATTTATACAGAATTGTGCAAGATATTCCATATTGGCACATCACTGCAGATAATGATTGATTTTGTTCTTGGAAATGTGTCTAACTGGACATATTTAAACTCTTCTGTTTGGAACTTGATCTAAGTCATCCCTGTCCTGAATAAGTCTACTGAAACATCTTTCTGACTGCAATCCACCATAATTCTAAACCTTTGGTTGTTAACCTCTTTATCCCCACATGTACACTAAAGTTTTAAGGCATATAAAGAAAAATATAGGCGTACAAAAAATGTGTTTAAAATTCACTCAAATTAATTGTGGAATATTCACCACCCAACCCCCTATTTAATTAACACCTGTCCAGTTTTACTTAAGTTACCCATTATAGCTTCTATACTGTAGAACAATGACTTGAGCCTATTTTCAGTCATGTTTCAAAATTCAGCCCACTATAAAACTTTGCCTGCAAACTTCGTGAAGTTCTTTGTGTGAGTGTTTAAAACTCTGCTGGATTCTTTGAGCTTTCTGAAGCCAAAAATAAAACCAGTCCTTCAGTTTTGGTTGGCAGGACCACAAAATGTCTGCTGTATCTGGACTGTCTCATTAAAGCTTAGATGGAGAGTCCAGTGTTTGAAAGCTCTTTTGTCATGTCTCTTGAGTATTGCATGGCTGCAGATGAGTCAAACTATTTCTACTTTTGGAATTATCTTAATCTTTCCTGTCTGCTATTCAAGATTCCTATTTCTACCATTATTACTTTCAGATGATGGCTCCGCTACACCTTGGACCCATTTATTTTGAAAGATATTTGAAGGAAGTGCAAACATCCTGACTGCTCATGTACTATACTGTACTTGAAGTGTCATTCAATAAATATTCCCATTTTGGTGTGACTTCCTGACTTTTTCAATTTCATCAGTAGATGCTGCTACTAAAGTTTGTATACTTTACAGGTACCTGCCAGAAATTTAAGAGAATCTCTGACAAGACTGAGGACATGTTCACAGACATCAGACATAAATCTTGCAAAGCTTCAGGCTTCAGTGTTGGTATGGAGCCAATTGGTGCCTTGGTGATAAAAGAAATCTGTTTTCAAATTTTTACACTTTTTATGCCATTTGAAATGCCTGTTATGCCCATCATAAAGGAATACTTAAGCTATGAAATGTTGTTCAGTTAGCAAATTTGCCACCTGATGTGCCTTAATCTCACCAAAATTAGCCTACTGTAAAGCCTTACTTACTGGGGCACCACCTATGGTACTAAACGGGCTTTTGAATGACCAGAACTCTGTGACCCTTGTGTATCAGCTTACATATGAGGCAACTATAGGTTATCCTAAGGATTAATTAGCTTTAGGTCTACACTCATGGAATCTATAACTGGATGATATCCACATAATTAGCCACTATCAAATGATCTCTTTTTTTCTTGTAACCCTTTCTTATATTTTCTAATTTGAGATCTGCTGATTCAGGTCTTCTTACTCTTCCACACAATGAGTGGACCTGTTCATGTTCAGCACTTTGTATGTGGAACGTAGTGACCAAAGCCATGAGAGACTGAGACTGCTGACATTTTTAAAGCCTGCATGAATGTTTATCTTTGAGTTTCTAGTAAAGGTGGCTCTATCATTAGCCTCCATTAGCTGCCTCCTCTAAGCAGCAGCATATAATTGTCTGAACACTGCTGGGGTATGGTGCATATTAATATGGCTTTCGGTGCAACATCAAGAGATGTGCCACTCCTCCAGTCTGAGCTAACTCTCCAGCATGACACTCAGAAGACGAATGGCTTGAATGGCTTTAACAGGTGGGCGTGTCAGAGGGGCACATCTGCAGATCCTTACGCTCCTAGTGCTGGCTGTGAAAAATTCTTAAACAGGCAGCAACACATTTGGTGTAATGGCATATAACAAAAAGACACCTGTCAATTCAAACATTATATAAGAAACAACAGCAGCAGATTACTGGATTGTTCTTGTGCAATAAGTTGGCATTGTTTATTTAAAACTAAGAGCTTGTTCCAGTTGCTTAAACACCAGACAAAATTGCTTTGGCTGCTGTGTTTTTCTTACTCCTTCCTTTTCAAGCCCATAAAAACCGCCCCTCGTTAAGCTGCGAGATATAAAGTTGGAAAAAATTAAGAGGTTTCATCAAATTAACCTTAATTTCAGTAAGGGCCTGTCTTCAGGTGAAGAAATACTAATTTAGACATTAAGATGTGCCTTAGAGACTTCTACCAGCACTTACACAGACGGGAAAAAAAAACTGATTTCAAGTGACAGATCACACTTAAAAAGTGTGTGACATTTTTAAACGTACATTTCAATTAGTCAAGCTTAACTAAAACAGGAAATCAGAATCCTAATACTTATTATGAGAGGTGTCTATGTATTTATGTCCAAAATCTAACGCATCATAGAGGAATCCTTTCTATGATGGAACAGGGAATCTTCACCAGAAAGGAGAAGGTGTCGATAGAAAGAAGAACATCAGCAACTCATTGCATTTGTGCAGAGATTTTGATCCAAAAAGATCCCAATGCGCATTACATAAAAACTCCCCCAGTCCACAGCTGCTTTGGTTTAGTCAGCATTTCGGATCCGAGTTCTGTCACAAGGTCTACAATTTGAAATAATGAAACAATCACAATCATGCTGAGTATGATATTTCAGAACACTATACAGTACTCCGTCCAAATGACGGCTATAATTAGTGCATTTAATATATTTCTGGAAGATTGAATCATTTTGATCCAATGCTCACAGATCAAAGCATAAAATGAATCATGCAGTGATTAGCTTCCTATACGCTTCATGCAAAAGGGGGTGTCACATCATGGTATTTACATCACGCTACCCTCTCAGGGGAGCCCGGTCTGAGCAAACGCCAGGGCTGTTTAGAAACCTGTACCTTGTCACTTGCACCGCTGCACCTCTCAGGTTGTGTGACAACAGCAGTCCCCCCATGAGGGAATGACTGCTGATGGGAATTCATTTCGAGAACTCTCCCAAGCCGGCAAAGAACCTACCTTTAATTTTCTGCTTGTATTCTTCTGGTCGGTGGAGATACATGGCTGCCGCATCTCCATTCAAAGGATCTATAGGATTCGGGTAGGCGAGCAGCTGAGGCAGGAACGATTCAAATATATTGGTAAGGTCTACAAATGGAAAAGGATGAAAAACACAATGATGTTCCAAATAAATAACATTGTGAATACAAGGTATTGAGTAAAGACTTCAACACTAACGTAGATTTTTAGTTAGAAGAAGCTGTCAGAACACTTAATTAAGTAGCTGACAAATAATGAAATGCTCAATACAGGTGCAAACATTGCAGTTCCGTTTCTGTACTGTGATGAGCTGCATCTGCACTACTTCAAAACCCTCCTAGGTGGCACTGTTTTGCAAATTTAAATCCAAGGCCTCATTTCATTTCAAGAATTAAAAAAATAGAAAGCATGACAGAGAATACTAATTTGGTCTATAATGTGCACAGAATTAACATTCTGTGCACTAAATAAAAGGGCACTGACATTTAGCTTGTATCACAAACAGCAGAAGTCAGCAGTGGTAAATCACTCCCTCATAAATTCAGAATTACCTGATGCTACTATTGCTTTTGTATGGCCACATGTTTTTCTCATCATTTCAACTTGCTGTTCCAATTTCTCCTATAGGCAAACCTTTAAATTTTCCTTATAAAAGAGAAGAAAAACAAGCATTTTCCCCCCCCTTTCCCTAAATCCATAACTTCACTTCTTTCAGCATTCTACTCATCTGAAAATGTGGTTTTGACCTGGCGATGCTCCAGCATGGACAGTCTCCAAGGTACTGACCATGACAAAACCACTTTGAAGCAATTACTTGTGAATGAGAATGCCTTGCATTACACAAAATAGGCCCCTTTCAGCTTTCTCCCAGAGCAGCACAGTTTTCTGACCTTGATCGCTCTAGGAATTACCTTGTTAGCGTTAACGTACAGTAAGAGGATTAGACACCAGAATATTCGCCCCCAAAGCTACAGCGCTGTTCAGGCAGGCCACTTCCTTCCACACTCTGGACACTGTGCATCACTCGTGTTTATCACTCCTCCAGGAACAAGCCCTGAACCACGAGACTCTGAATCCAATAAACTCACCATAGAGGGCTGTCCATGTTTGGTTAATTACATCTAGACACACAGTTCCTGACCTGAAAGAGAAAGGGCAGCTTTCAAAAACAACATTGTGTGGCACATTCCTCACTGACTCAACAACTGCCGTTCAGCCCTCATTCGTACATACACGTCACAAAGCACACAACCCATAGGGAAATGGGATGCTTCATAAACCAATTTCGAGCTAAAAAACACTGAAACACAAAAAGGTTCATGTCCATTTGCAAAAGAAATTCACTTTAGAGGACTTTTCTTTTTGAAACAAACACGGATTTAGCCCTCAAAATTTAAGGTAGCTTTCACCTATTCTCAGTTGGTTGGGTAGTCACTTTATCAGGAAATTGATTTTGACTGATGTCGCTATATTTGCTTTTACCCCTACTAATCCGATCTCTGTCAGATATGTTTCCTGTCCAAATATAACACACGCAAGGCGCCCAAGTTTATAACCCAGCTCTGTTTCACTTAAGTGTTAGTTTACAATTGGTCTCTAGTAGTTATTTGCAAAGCAAATTTTCATCATGCCACTGATGCCACTTTATATAAAATTCACATTCTGCAAACCCAATTTATCCCCAGATACAGTACTGAGATTTGCAACTGTTAAAAGGGAACCACTTTTGGGGTTATAATGAATTGGGAATGATAAGTGCATTTCAAACCACAATGAAACTACCAAGTACACGTTAATGTGTTCAACCCCCAGTTTACATCACAAGAGTTGAAGTTTCCATGTGTGTGTAGCACCAAATTCCTGTCACCGACTGTGACCCAGAACTAAACTTGCAATGACAAAAAAGCATCAATTTTCACTAGCAAATCTTGCTGCTATATTTATAGCATTTTCATTAAACCAACACATACGAGGTGATGTTTTTTAGATACATTTAAGTATTGCAAAAAAAGCCCCATCTGCTAACCAACTAAAATACTCACAATAATCAACATTGTTAGGAGACCACGTTTCTCATTTCGCAATTTGCACGAACTCTCACTCTTGCCAGTGGCGAGACCAGTGGTTTCTCGTCTGCCTGCGATAACACTGCACCATACAGTACTTTCACAAAGTCCACGATTTTGCACCCAATTTGAATTTGGTAACATTTTGTGATACCATCAATTAATTTTGTTACCTAGATTTAATAACCCGTCTGAATATAATTGGGCCTGCAGTTCTCCTTTAAGAGGGACAAGCTCTTATAAATATTATGGTTTACACAACTTCAATAAAGATCATCAAAACTTAAACAAGATCATCACTTACAAAACAATGCTGCAACACATTACATATTTGAGCACAGGGTGTTGGTAACATTCTGAAGATACTGCCCTTCAGGCTGCTTATCATCTATTGTTATAACACTTGGCTGTGGGATATGAAAATGTATGTTCAACTTACGCTTCGTCAATGTTGGGATGAAATATTTTATTCATGAATCCTGCACAAGAGAAGAGATGACATCAGTACTTAAACTGATTAGATAAACTCTTACATTTCTTAGAAAGGTGGCTTTATTCATTTTAAAACTTTTGAAATAAAGAGAGCACAACATTGCTCAGTTTTTTGAGTGAAGAATTACATACTAATATCTGACTGACCTGTTATCTGCCCAAAACGTCACATCATTTTCAATGTACTATTCATTTTGACACAATCAGAGCTGGCCTCAAGATATCATACCTCTGAACCAAACATGGCAGCAAAATACTACAGTACTTTTAAATCATGTAAACTTTTATACACAGTGACGTAAAAATCTATAAGGAACATAAGACAGGAAACTGTCTTAAATTATTTTTATCTCCTGCTTTACTATAGTGAAATGCTCATCATACACAAAAAACACCCTTCATAAACTTTCCAGCTACTGTTTCTGGAAGAAAAACTAATATAGAAATAATATATCTTTACAGGATCTGAAAAAAAAAAATCATTTTTAAATATATCTATAGGATGAAAAAAGTGTAGTAAAACAAGGATACAAGAAAAGCTAATGATGAGAACAGGCTATTAAAGCTTATCATTTTTCTAAAAACAAAGTGATTTATCACCACCTCAAGCCTAGACAGCAACATCCCAGCATCACTGCTTCCACAATCCAATCCATGCACTGGTGCAATCCGGTGTTTTATATATACACATCATGTGAGATCTCTTTATCCTGATCACCAAATCTGAAATACCTATTGTCAATTCTTTTCAAAATGCTGAAGACCTCAACCTCTTCAATCTGTTGCAGGTGCAAGAGGGAGTCTCTAGAAGGAAAGTCATTTACTGTAAATGGATATAAAATGTAATGGTTGGCTATACAGTCCAACTGTCTGTCAGCTATACTGAAAGACATGATCAGAAGAAAGCTTAACTGGGGCTTCCAAGGTCAACCAATAACGGCACTCATACGGAGCAGGGGTTGACACTATTACCCCAGATGTAGTAGGTTCAAGTCTGGGTCACATCAGTCGGATGATTTGACTGATGTGACCCAGGGTTGTGACCCACCACGATTCCCCAAGGACTCAAGGGGTGGTGCAGAATTTGCCAAGCACCAGTAGGATAAGATGAGCAGGGGTGCCAGGACTTCCTTGGTTTTTCCTGCAACGGGGAGCTCCCTGCGAGTCTGCAGTGACTTCGGCGAGAGACGTGGAGGCGCTCTCATCAGCGCCCTCTGTCCTGTGAGACTGCACAGCTGGCTGCCTGTAAACCGCCTGGCTCCGACAGGTGGCCGTGTCTCGGGAGAGTAAGAACAGGCCCTTCGTTCTTTCCGTATGGCACAAGGACAGCAGCAGTAAGCTGAGCTGATAACTGGACATTCCAAAGTGGGTGGGTGGAAAATGGAGTATGCTCACATGTACCAAGACGAACGACTGCCGAGGGGCTCAAACAGAAGAGCTAGTCATTGGGAATGAGGGTAGAGCTCACAAAATCCACAGTATTCGGCACATCGGCAGGTTAAGTCATTAGCTAACCTGCAAACAGGACTCCTCAAGTGGTGCCACAGGATTTGCTTTGGCTTCAGTTAACCAGCACTTCCTCTGCTACCTTTGACCCTTGAAAAGTGTAACTAAGGAAAGCCCCATTACTACCGCATCTCATGCTAACTGTGCTATGGACATCAAGTTTTGCCATTCACAACAAAACTGTGGATTGCTTGACTGAGCACGATCAAGAGGAAAGCTCGCAAATTGCTTAGCCCTTCCGTACTGGTGTGAGAGTCAGACGTAAGCCTAGCTGACACGGCCATTTCCAGATGGATAGTATATAAAGTTACTGGCAGTTCAAAACAAAAGAGCTTACGCATGACAGACATTATTGTGAAGAAAGCTATCGTTGGTTCACTTCAAAGCACTTGACTCAAGAGAGGAGAGAACCCTGTGCTGTAAAGCCAAGGACATACCTATTGACGGAGATTTGAAAGGGTATTTGTCGGGTAGATCTACTCGCACCTTCCACACGCCCCCTTCATACGGTGCTAAAAAAAAAAAAGAGACAAAAGACAGAATATCTCGAATAGCACTGCACACATATCCACACTGCACCATTTCCAGTCAGACTGATAAAACAACAGGATCAATCATTACCAAATAACTAAGAGAAACTAAGCCCCAGTGAGCATTTAGCTATGAAAGTCCTCACACAGGTGTACTCTGCTGCCAAGTGGGTCTCTGGATTGTTATACTGGTTAGCAAGGGGGCCGCGAGGAAGCACCAGATCGAGCACACCGTGTTACTAGGTGAAGACGCAGAGACAAGAAAATAGTCTCCGCAAAATCCTAAAAATTGCAGAATATTTATTAAACTAACTTTTAAGGAGGGAGGGAATAAAAAGTTTCAACCCTTGTGGGAAGCAAATGCAGTGGCTCGAAGAGAAGTTATCAGGCCTCATAATGAGGTATATTGGTTTGTAAAATACCACTTGGGCTGGTACTGAGAGGGCCGTGCTTTATTCTCATTAGTTTTTCACAACTGAAATAACTGACGTATCGGAGCTTTTTAAGTTTCACCACATGGCAGACATGGTATGAACTCTTAGCTTGGATGACCAGTAGAGCAAGCTGGAAAACTCCAGTTTGTCACGAGCCGTGGACAGGAAACAGGAGTGGGAGCAGTGTTTCTTACTCCCATTAACTCTCTACCAGACTCAGCTTTAAATAGAAAACATGGGGGCTGTTTCTTTTCACCACAAAATCCCCTGCACTTACAAGAGTGTCTATATTTGTACAAGATTACCTTTTAAATCATAATATTTGTTATATTTCTGGGAGAATAAACAGCTGACAAAAAAGCAATAAAACAAAAATATCTAGTTACATGAAAGGTAACCGTTAACAGGACACAGTAACATACATTAAAAATACATACTGAGTTCCTGTAAAGCGCTTTGAGAAGCCACCTTTAAAGGCGTGATATAGAAAATAAAGTTTATTATTATTAAAATACTTTTAAAAAGTTATATGCGTTTGTCATTACAGGTAAATTAGGCAGAAACCGAATACTTTCGATATCTAATCACCAAAGGCTAGAGACCGAAAATTGAAAGTGTTTCAAATGAATGCAATCTCATTAGAGGACTGAAATTGTTAACCAGACTTAATGTTCTAAGCCTTCTCACATTCATAAACACTGTCCCAGTGCAACTGGTCATATGAAGACAGAAAGCAGCAATAATCCCTTTGTAAAAATAAGGTAAGATGTTAACATAGAAACTTACTTCCTTGTGGTCCATAAAACTTCACTACAAATTCATTGAGTCCTCCCAGGATGGTGACTTCATGTTTGCTCTCAATACTGTACACAAGTTAAGGATAAAGCATTTTACACACATGATATGCTTTTAATTGGATTATTGGCCCTGCAATTAAAATGAGTAATAAGGACATTTACAAACAAGCTGTAAACACTAATCACATAAAAGAGACTACTGGGATGTATTTTTAAAAAATTAATCCTCGTTGAAAAGTCAAACATTCACATGAAAAATTCAGATACAGATTAAAAAAAATTCAGTGTGGGCCACACTGAAGCAACTCAGGCCGGAAGTCACTCTCAACTAAATAAAAGTTAAATAAAATTGAAACGCATGTTCAGCATGCTTGCATCTGTCATTAGAAGGTAAAGGCGACAAATGAGAGAAGATCATTGGACTCTTCCAACCCGTTTGGTTAGTCACAAACTGATCCGAGGGTCTCGCAGCCTTGTCCAGGAAGAGGGCAGTATATCAGCTTCAATGTGGCCGAGCAAGAAGAGTCAGCCATTTTAAAACTCCCCCTGTAGTTTCCACCGGTCTAGCAGCTGGAAGAATGAACCTGGTCACTCTTCTCTGCACAAATTCCAGAAGAGCAATGTCATTTTCATACCCTTAAACTGTTTCTCATTCCACTCAAGGCTACAACTTTCAATTCAAGAAATCCTCTTCTGTAGTACTTTATTAAACTTCTTAAAATCTAAATATACCACACAGTATCCATAACTATTGTTGCTTGTTCAAAGAAGTTAGTTAACTGAAACAATAACCGAATTAATTTTTATTAGTGTACAATTCTTCAGTTTGGCTAACCTCTTACTGATTGGGTGTTACGCTATCATTTTTCTAGTCCATGGATGTTAACCCTATCTTGAATAGCTTTTAAAGAGCATTGTTATAAATAATACCCTTTCTTCTCTAATACAATTGACTGAATACTATTAAGGCTTAAAGATGTATTTGTCTCAGGTGCTTCTAAAACCAGTATAACCAGTCTCTTCTATGCTAATAATATTAAATACAGAACTTTGTCCTTCCTCAAACCAGGACAGTTTGTTGACTTCCAAAGGAAGAAACACTTGAGAAATATTTAATGTTTTAGCCATTTCCCCAAAAAGTACAACTTTCTCAGCAATTGCAGCCACCGATTTCTAGAAGGACAGAATAGATTAAATCTCAAGAGTAGGCAATTCAAACGCTTAAAACGTGGCCATGCATTGTTAACCAATTCCTCATCTTATTCCACTGTACTGCTCTTTATACTCACCTTATTCCTTGTGTGCTTTCCTGAAACTAAGAGCCATTGTCTGGGACTCTACCTGTACAGTTTCAAAATCTACTTCAAAGCAAACCCATGTGATCGATTTCCCAACAGTATTCTAACATTTCTTTATCATGACTGCTTGAAAAAACTAGATCAATACAGGAATTCCCTCTAGGTTGCACTCTTGTTTGACAAACTGAATAGGAAAACCATTGTTAGCTGTTGTTTCCATTGCAGTTTCAGCTTCTCTGAAGATTTTCCCCAGTCTGAGAAAACAAATGCTCTTTTTTTATGCACTATATTTTTCATAGCATAAGACATACTTGAATCCAGTGATCAGTAGCAGATAGAATGATTTTGAATGTTATTTTTTTTTTAACATAAAGACTGCAAAAAAAGAGGAGCTCACATATCTTTCTCGTTTGGTACTTTAATTGCTAAGTTAATTGAAGACTGCTTGTCCACCTCTTAAAGGAACACCAAGGTTGGGCTTCAACTCCTTGACTGGAAGGCCTGTGCCAGATATCCATAACTCTGTAAGAAAGTGCTTCCTATTTTCACTCCTTTAAATGGTTTGCAACTGTGACCCCTGTCCTTGTTTCACTACCCAGCGTGAAAATGTTGTTCATCCACATTGTCATAAAGACATAGACAAACCTGGATCAACACCCATATCCATTTCATGCACAATTTCCTCCAGCTCAGATTCACCCATGTGATATTTATAGTGGTACTACTTTCTGTGTAGATCACTTTGCGCTTAGAAATGTTAAATTCCATTGCCATGTGTCTCCCCTCCATGGTTGTCTAATTCTTTTTTTAAAACCCTTGCCACTGGTTCTATTTTCCACATCAGTTTCTCTCAATTGCAAATTTCCCAATTAAGATAGTATACTGTAAACTTTGATGTACATTGGGAAGCACAGCATGCTTATAAAGGACTTACGTTTTTAGTTCACATCCTATGACATGATTGCTTTAATCTGCCCAGTTGGAGAGTATGGCCTTTAACCAGTACTCCATCAAGGCGCATATATTGGGTTCCTCTGGAACTTAATTTGAGAATGATTATTTTATGAGGATTATCATCAAAAGCTTTCTCAATGTAAAAATATCCCATCATATACACATCGTTGCCATCAACAGTTCTTGAGGCTTGTTTGAGGAGTTCTGGTCAAAATTTTCCCCTCCTAACTGTATGCTGTAGAAGACTGATTGGTCTTTAGTTTGTTTATTGCAGTTTTGTCTAACTCAGTTTTCCTAGATATTATTTAGCTGCAAAGTTTTCATTCCAACTCATCACTTAATGGCCCCAATCAGTTCATTACCGTCTTGATGGGACCAAATGTAACATCTTCTCCCAACTCTTCAGGTGCTGGGGCTTTGAAGACTTAAGACAATCTGCAGACACACCACTCCACCAGGACCAGGATAGCCCTTCCATGCTGAAAGAAGTCATTCTTACAAGCCTTACATGATGCAAATCAACTGTCAGCCCTCAGATATGACATTATGAAAGCTGACATTATAAAATCCAGGCACAACTTCATGTTTACAGCAATTCAAGATCAGAGGTCCCCTTGTTAAAGCAAAACCTTTTTTAAACTGATAATGTTTGTCACCACATGGCAAAACTCATTAAAAAACATCTGGTGCCAGTCTTGGATCATTGTTATTCATAGCCCAACTTAACTTTGGGATATTTCCCAAACCGGTACCTGTCCAACAGGTTAGATGTATACAAAAACATCAAAGGCAGTCAAATACTACATTTGGCAGTTGCTTCACATGTTGCATGGGGAAACACCCCTTTCTGGTCAGAAATGTGACATCACATTGTCACAGCCACTATTCATAATGTGAACTTCATTCCACCCAATACTAATAATCTGTTTTGGGCCAGGGCTGTGTCTCTTCAGTGTTTCTCTGCATGTCCAGAAACCATCTTGAACAGAAACAACATTTCGTAAGCCAGTTCAGGGACACAGAAGGAATTAATGTTGTCATTTTGCATTGGCAAAACTCTAATACCTGAATTACCTTCAACTGAAACTAAACTCTCAGCAATCCCTAGCCTGCATAAGTACAAGCTGATGCCCAACAGAAAAGTAGTAATCAAGCAGCAAAAAATTACACCACAGTTTTTGCTTCATAGCTTTTTTGATACATGGACACAGTGCAAGCACAGAGGACAAGGAAAAGATTCCTGCCGCCTCTCAGAAAATCTGGGGCTCATCAGCCTTCCAACAGGTCAATACTGGGAGTTCTTCTCCCAGCTCATTTGCATGTCCTCAGTCTGCATTGCCAAAGTGTAGCCAAGCACCCTTGTTGCCACCAAAAACTGGCAGCAGGTTCCACTCCCTGGCCACTGCGAGGCAGTGATGGGAGCCAGCACATCAGCACAGCAGATTCCAAGATCACAGGACTATACGTTCCCTTCGGGGGGGTTGCAGCCCTGTCTCAGAAAAGCAGGAGCTGGTCTCCATCACCAGCCAAAGCTTGCCTTCATCATCTGCCACAGCCGACGTGCACTGCTTTTGAATTAAATAAAAAGAACAATTTAAGTTGCAGTGCAATGTGAAATCAACCCACGTATGCCTTGAAATTCAGCGGTCATACTTTCATTCTTGTTTGGAATTGCGATACATGTGCACATAAAGTGATACCCAACCTTAAAAATAAGATATCTGCTTGCTAAATTTCCTAGTTCTTGATCGTGCTGGAATATTCATTAAAATACTTTTAATATTTGATGTGTTTATACCACAGCTTTTAAGTTGAGTGTTTCTTCTGCCTAGATAATCAGTTTTGGCAGTAATTAAGTGGTTTTTGATTGGGGCTGAAAATGAAAGGAGGCTTATTTGATTTACAGTTACACTTTTCCTTCACTAAAGTACATTTTGATACCAGCAAAATCTTTCAAATACTCTAAGCAATCAAAAAACGTGCACAGGAAATTTCTAAGCCTAGACAACGTTTGTCTAACAGTCATCTCCAGTAACTGTAATGATTATCCCATATGAGTCTTTTCATAAGACACAGACACTCTTAGAAGAGAGGGTTTCTCCAATGTCAATCTTCAAACACTGGGGCTTTAAAATGGTGCTTTATTTTATGAAGCACTTTCTTAGACTGCAATCCCAGATACTAAGCTTTAGGTCATTTAATGTCTGAGGATGTGATTCCTTGTCCCCAATAAATTATATCTGTTATTGTAAATTATAGAGCATTTGAAAAGAAAGCTAAGGAATATACATCCATCCATTTTCTAACCTATCCCAGTTAGCAGTGGGCACAAGGCAGGATACTCCCTGGATGGGACACAAGTCCACCTCAGGGCTGACGCACGCACATGTCTCAGGGCCAATTTGCCCATGTCTTTGGACTTTGGATGGAAACCCACACAAATACGGGAAGAACATACAAACTCCACGCAGACAGCACCCCTGGACTTGAAATCATTGCTGCAGCACTGTAAGGCAGCAATGCTAACCACTGCAACATGTGTCACCTGCTAAGGAATACCTGTTATTGTAATTATAAAAACTTAACACTGTAAAATTGAGTATTAGAGAACACTGTTTTTAACTTTCAACCTCCAGTTAAAAAAGGATACACATAAAAACAAACTTAAGAGCAAGGAATTAGGAAGGAATCAGGTTTATTACTTTCATGTGAACTACTCTGCTATTCTACATAGCACTTAAGTGTTCTTGGAGACTTATCTATACAGCCGCAATAATGACAAGAAATAGTTATTTTAGCTGCACAGGTGAATAG